CATGATTATTTTTCTTCCTTCATCTATCTCTTTCATAAAATCTAATATAGTAAAACCCTTGTTTGTGTTTGTTTAAGAAACTCAATATTTCTCACATTTTGATTTGCTCTTGATGACATCGATTCACAACAAACTGGTGTAGTGAGCGTGGAAGAGAAGATGCTGTCAACAAACTATGAGAATGAAAATTTTACCAGTGTGAATGATTTTGATTTATGGGGCTTGAAGATACAAGTCCTACTAGTTCAATAAGGTTTGTTAGAAGTGTTGAAAGGATCCGTTAAGATAGACGTTACTCTAATGGAGAAGGAGAAGAAGACGATGATCGAAAAATCCCATAGTGCCATCATATTGAGCCTTGGTGATAAGGTTCTCCAGCAGATTTCAAAGGAGAAAACTGTAATTGGTGTATGGACAAAACTCGAAAGTTTGTACATGACAAAATCGTTAGTTAATTGTCTCTATCTGAAGCAAACTTTGTATTCATTCAAGATGACTTAAGACAAAGTCTTGTCTGAGCAGTTGGACATGTTCAACAAGTCGACTCTTGAAAATATCGAGGTCAAGATTGATGATGAAGATCAAGCATCGCTGCCATTATATGCATTACCTTAGTCTCATGCTTATTTCAAAGAAACTTTCTTATATGGAAGAGATTCGTTGACATTTGAAGAAGTTCAATCAACCTTGTACTATAAGGACCTGAATGAAAGAAAGGAACATAAATCATCTTCTGTTGGTGAAGGATTGTCCGTCAATTGAAAGTTCTTGAAGAAAGATGGTAGATTTGAGAAGAAGAAAGGTAAGGTTCTACATAATTCTTATGGTAGTAATAATCCTACAATTAGGTGTTATCATTGTAAGAAGGAGGGTCATATAAGAAATGTGTGCTCTGATTGACTGAATAATTATGGTGGAAAGAATAATGGTAATGCAACTAATCTTACCAGTTGATCAGAATCCGAGGTGGGCTAAAGACAAGCATCTATGATGCTTGGTGTGAAAGAGGATGTGAGTGTGTACCTACAAGGCACTTCGATGCTAAAGTAAGAAAACGAGCAAGAGAGAGAGCAAGTACATAATATGAGTGTTTCAGGGTGAATATTGGATACGTGACCCTCTTAAGTTATAGGTTTTTATAGTGCCCCTAGCGCTTGGCCATTGATCCCGATTTTTGGGGCGAGATAACCGTTTCTCGAAGAATAGGTAACTGCCAGAACTAGCCATTGAGACGGGCAAACGTGCCCATAACTAGCCGTTGGCACAGGCAGAAGCGTAGTTACGAGCACAAGTGTTTTAACTGTTTCTGGATGGTGAAACCGCGCGTGACGGACAGAGACTGACGGGGAGGAGTGCTGTGACCAAGGTAAATTGACCAGCCTCTCCCGTTGGTGGGGCAGAAAGGTAAATTCTCCCCCGAAGTGGTTGGACTTAGGCAACTGGGCCGCTTTGGGAGTAGAAGTGGATTGGGCCATGTCTAGCCATTGAACCAGTCCGGAACAACAACTATTGTGCAAGATGGTTATGAATCATATGATGTTCTTGTTGTTTCAAGCAAGGACTCTAGCAAGGAGCGGATTATAGATTCAAGTTGTATTTGACACATGACTCCAAACAAAGACATGTTTGAGGAATTATGTGACCAAGATGGTAGATCAGTTTTGTTGGGAAACAACAAAGTTTACAAGATTGTAGAAATTAGATATGTTACATTCATGCTCCGTGATGAGTCAATAAGGCTACTGACTAATGTTAGGTATGTACATGATCTTAAGAGGAATTTGATTTCTCTTGGTGAATCCGACAAGAAAGGATATGTTTTCAAAGGAGAATAAAGTATCCTAAGGGTAATGAAGGAGTCAAAGGTAGTCTTGAGAGGAGTCAAGAAACAAGTCTTGTTTACCCTTGAGACTGAGGTTGTAAGTGGTTTAACAAATGTGGCATCCACAAAACCTGTGTCGAAGACCGAACTGTGAGACAAGAGACTTGACCATGTCAGTGAAAAAGACCTGATTAAATTGTCGAAACAAAATCTATTAAATAACTGGAGTTTTGTGAACCTTGTGTATTTGGTAAATCAAGTAGGGTGAAATTTAACAAAGATAAACAAAGAACACATGGAACTCTTTGGAGGTCTGCAAGGAGTCCTTCACACTCAGATGCAAAGTATTTCCTATCCATAGTTGATGATTATCCCAGAAAGCTATGGGTATTCATCCAGAAGACTAAAGATGAAACTTTTGAAAATTTACAAAAGTTGGAAGACCTTGTCGAAAACCAAACTGGAAGGAAAATCAAGAGGTTGAGGACCGACAATGGTCTTGAATTTTGCAATGAGGCTTTCGACATCTATTGTGCTGCGTCTGATATTGCAAGGTACAAAACTACTATAGGTACTCCCCAAAAAATGGTTTGGATGGAAGGTTTAGTCTAACCATTCTGGAAAGGGCGAGGTGCATGTTGGTTTGTACGAAATTAAAAAAAGGTGTTTTGGACATAAGTTGTTGAGACTGCAACATACCTGATAAATAGTTTAATAATAAGGGTCTGTTAGGGTGTGTTTGGTTCGAGGTATATGGAGGGGAGGAGAGTGTAAATTTCTAATTAAATATGTTTGGTTCAAATTTAATGAGGGGATGACAAGGGAAGGAAGGAGAGAAAAATCTCTCCAAAATAAACTTTTTGTTTCTCTCCGAATTGGAGAATCTGGAGGGGAGAGAATATGGATTTTGATATTTAAAATATTATTATATTTACTATAATATCCTCATATTAATTTTGATATTTCAAAATTATTCATTTTCTGTCGGGTTACTGTTTCTCTTCTGTGTGATTATCTCGATTGCTTCCATCAGTTTATTATCACTCTTCTGCACCTTCAAATTGTTTTATAGTTTTTGCACCTAAAATAAATCATAATTATTGCATTTTTTTTGGAAAAAAAAATTATGTTTAGTTATATTTGTTTTTTTTGTTCTATATCCTATCATATTTTTTTATATCAATTTTTAAACCATTCATTTTATTTATTTTGGTTTATTCATTTTATTAAACATTTTGAACCATTAATATTTAATAATAAGTTATTTAAATATATTTGTTTTGTTACAGAGTTATAATCCAAATCAAGTGCACTCAATTTCTTAACGTTAGGTGCTAAATAAATAATTTTTTTGTCACTCAATATTACAAATTTTATTACAAAAAAAAATATATATGTAAGATTGCAAGGATACAAATTTTAATTATTAATAAAATTTATCTCCTCCCCTTTTGAATCAAACATATTTTTAATTAAAATCTTTTTCTTCCCTTCCCTCCCCCTCTCCTCTTTTAAACTAAAAATCTCTCACCTCCATTCCCTCCATTTAAATTATATATGATTATTCTAGAATACATGAATATATATTCTTTAAATTATTTTATTTTTTTGACACATAAATTATTTTTTGGAAAAAAATATTTTTAATTTTTTTTAAAGACATACAAATTATTATCACATAATATTTATATAATTCGCTCTTAATTTAACAATAAAATTTTATCACATTAATTTTTTTCCACCCAAATATAATAAAATACAAATATAATGTTCATACATTTTATTTTAACCAAACAAATAAAAGATAATATAATTGTGAGTTAGGAAAAATGAACAACACAAAAGTAAAAAAGACGACACTAAATAATTAATTTGATGACACTTGTTTAAATCCAAATTTTTAAAAATTAAGGAGTCTAAAGTGAACATCACATTAAAGTTAAGATATGAAAAACTTACATTAATCCTATAAATAAACACTAGTATAGGTAAAATTAAATAAAATATTAAAATAATATAAAAACAAAGTTTAAGAAAAATATTGTGGGTATAAAAAATATTATATATATATATATATATATATATATATATATATATATATATATATATATATATATATATATATATATATATATATATATATATATATATATATATATATATATATATATATATATATATATATATATATATATATATATAAATTAAAATATTTTAAAATGTTAAATTATATAAATAATTTAAAATTTACAAGGTAATTTGGCAAAAATATATGATTGTGACTAAAAATAAATAAATATTTGAAATATAAAAATGTCAATAGGATTGATTCAATTTGAAATTAAGCTACGCCGTGCCTCTGTTTTTCTCAGAATAACCATCTCCGACGAGTATGATCCAGAGCGACACCGTCATGGCTGAACCCCCACCACCCCTCAGGTAACCTCCGTTCACTCTCATTCTCTCCCAATCCAAATCACGCATTCCCCTTTGCGCTCACTTTAAGAATCCCCAATTTCCCAACTTTTCACTCTCTCTCTCTCTCTCTCTCTGCCACTTTCCGTTACATTTCAACTTCAATTAGGTTAACCAGCGTGGTTCCCGTTATTACTCATTAACTTTGACTCACTTTGTTTTTTCTCTCTAAAACCTCTTTCTTCTCACACATCACATGCACTTCCAATTTTCTAAAAGCAGTTTTTTATTTTTAAAATCAATTAGTACCAAAATGGAATCACACACTTTCTTTGGCGTACATTACACACAGAAAAAGAAAAATTGAAAACCCTGATTGTGACTCTTCGTCTGACCACATAGCACTATATTCAAAAAAATTCCCTTTTCTTATCGTCCTCTTCTGTACACTACAAAACAAAACAATTCCACAATTTTTTCATCTTCAAAATCCATTTTTTGTCTGCAATTCTATTACCCCTTTTCCCCTTTCATTCATCTCAATTTTCACAACTGTGACTTGGGTTCATTTGTTTTTATTCATCGTATATTCTCATTACTCATTTATGAAATATCAAAAACCGGTTTTTTGTCAATGAGGAATTCTTTTATGTATATGTGTTTTTTGGATATTTAACTGCTTGGTTGGTGATGAACAAATAATTTTGTTTTAAAAGTATTGTTGCTTAGTAAAATATTGTTCACTGTTTTAGTTGTGGCAGTTATGGGTGGTGAGGGTAGAGTTGAAATTGTGAGTGGTAAAGGGTGCTCGAGGTTGTTTTCATCTTCATTTACTTCAGTCAGAGGTCTTCGACCATTGGATCAAATGTCTCCTGTTTCGGCTTCTCCGCAACTGTCATCAACTGCTCCTTTTGCTGGTCTTGTTATATGTGTTACTGGCTTATCTAAAGGTGTGGATTCATTTCATCTACTCATTGTTTTCTATTTGCTAAATTGGAATTCGGTTTGTATTTTTCTTATTTGGCTTCCAAGTCATTGGTTAAACTCTACAAAAGTTCTTTCAAACTTTTTCTTTTTTGAAATAGTGAACCATATTGTTTGGTTTGTTTTGTTTTCAATTGGTGATAAACAGTGAGAAAGTTGAAGGAGTTGAGAAATGAGAGTGTTTTTCTTTGCATTATCTATTTTGTTGATAGTAATTAGTATTTATGTTTTATAAAATCTAGCTTTCTTTACCTCTTCTGTTTTGCTTTGAGGTTGAAAAAATGTTTTTATTTAAAGCTATGCTGGATATGCTAAATGTCCATATGCTAGAGGTTGAAAAGTTGCATTTATTTAGAGCTATCGAACTGATAAGAGATAATCATACCATGATGTAGTTATTCTTTGAATTGGTATTTTGGCAGAAGCAAGGAATCAGGTCATGGAGGCCACAGAGAGATTAGGTGGCCAGTATAGCCCCAATCTGCATCCGCAATGTACTCATTTGGTGGTTCAGATATCCTTTTATTCTAAACTTTCCTACATAATAATAGCAGAAGCATGATGCTGTAAATTGTAATAGGAAGTTGTGATTTTCATATACTGTCATGTACACTGGAAAAAAAGTCTGCCAAATCCTGGAAATTGTTTTCTTAACTTGTTTGTGGGAGAGAAGAAATTTCGGTACCATAGTATTGTTTAACAGTGGCTATAGCAACACTATAGCACTAGCAATACTATAGCACTATCGCGTAGTGCAATTTGAACAAATAACTATTTTTCTGTGATACGCAATTTAGTAAAAATATTGTGAACTTGCTGCCCTGTAGCACTGCAGCGTAGCTGAATTTGAACAAACCGTTATTTTCTTCGTTCCGCAATTGACAACATTGCTTTATCTATATTTATTTATACTGTGTAAATGAAATGAATATACTATTGTTTTATACTTAGTGGATCACTCATGAATCATGACCATGATTGTTGTTTTCCATCCACTTTCCACAGCATGGATATTTGTGTAGTACGTTTGTGTTAGTTGGTTCAGTGTCATCATGAAATCTTTAACATTTAGCACAACTTTGGTGGATGCAAATTTGAGCATGCACTGAAGCATGGAGCAAAAAATGATCTCTTTGTTGTCACACTGGGTTGGTTTGTGGATAGTGTCAAGAAAAATGGTAATTGAGTTCGTTAAATTTCTGTTTACTTTTAATTTTATTATTATTTTGGTTATCTTTATTGGTGGTTGTAATTTAGCTGTTGTGCTATGAAGTCATGCTTAATACGGTTACCTGATATAGCTTATTATGTTTTTTTCTTTCTCATCTTATATTGAATGTATGTGGAACTTAAAGTACCTAATTAAATTTAACAAACTACATATTTTTGTTGTGATTACAGCCCCTGGTGCAGTTTATGGTGATATTTGTTATTGTTAGGACCTGAATGCATTTTCTTTTTGTCTTCGACAGTAAGGTTGACCGAATCACTTTATAGTCTGAAGAGATATGGAGATAATAATATGTACTTGGATGATTTTAGACTGCTTCCAGGGTATACAAATACTGGAAATTGTCTTCCTGCGAGAATCCATGAAACAACACATTCTCGTCGTGCTGAAGAATTTCTAAGATTCTTTGGTAAAGAGTCTAACAGAAATTTGGACTCAACTTTGTCTGGTTGCTCCATCTATGTTGATCCATACATTTCATCCGAATTGCAGAGCAAGGTAAAGTTTATGTGAACCAATAATAAATATCTAGCATTTTGTAACAGTATAGTTTCCTTTGTTTCAGTTAGGTTAGCGAATGATTCAAGTGTTCTTAAATGACACATTTATATGCTTTACATATTCAATAGGTTGTCGAGTCTGCCTCAAGAGAAGGTGCTAGTTTGGTGGAACAATGGTTTGTTGGTTGCAATGTTAGTCATGTAGTGACCGAAGGGACATCCATTCAAAGATATCTCGGATACTCTAATAACCTCATTACAGTGAGTGCTTCTACATTGTAATTTAACCTTTTCGAGACATGCAACATTTAGAGACGTAATGTTATTAATATAACCTGATAAGTAGGCATATACCATTTATTTATATCAAAATGATGTCTTTTTGCTATATGGTATGTCTCAGCCACTGTGGATTCTCAAAACAGCCAAGGAGAAACAAGTGCAGAGGCTTGTTAACATGTCTGTTGATTTGGCGAGACAAGTTGGCTTGATGCTCGAAGACGTTCATAATGGCCTTTCAGGAAAGGTAATTTCTCATTACATTTCTTTACAATTTTTGAATTCATATTTTTTTCTATTGAATTTCTGTCTTAGCAAAGTATTCTTTTTCTATGCGGAAATCCCTAGACTTCCTCCCTTTTTCTGGAATTGTGATATGAATTTTATTGATATAATAACAGGAAGTAGTAAAGACAAAAGTCCATAATGAACTTCAAGGCGGTAAAAGTGAAATTGGCTACGAAGAAAGACAACAAATTGTAAATTCGGCAAAAAATGGTGTCAGAAGTCGCCGTGGTCGTCGAATGCAGGTCAGTCGTGAGATTGGAACATTTAACTTCGAGCACGATCATCCGCCCCTCTTTAGTTTGTTAACCTTTTTTTAAATTAGTACTAAAAGTTAAAGATATGGATAAATGCTTATTTAATTTCAACATTACATTGCAGACATGTCAGACGCCAATCCGGCCGATAACACCTAACAACCTTCTAGACTCTATCTGCTGGTCAATATCAGAGGCGACTTCAACTGCTTCCATTTACACAGACTCTTTCAGCGCTGAAGATCCTAGTGAAAATCATACTTCAATATTTTTTGATGCAAAAGGAGATGCAAAGGATTCAGATACTTCATTTTCGAACTCCACACGTCCTCTAACAGAAAGGTTGTTATCGATTCTATAGCCTAAAGATTCTTTTCCTGATGTACTCAATGACTTGTAATTATCTCATTTGTGGCCTTGCAGTGAGAAATCTGAGTTGGTATTTAAGAACCACTTTCTCACCATACTCTTCCCAGTCGACCGGTTTTCCGAGATCGGCCCTTCCTCAAGGACATTTTTCAACAATAACGGTTTTACATGTCTTCAGGTGTTGGATCATATACATGCATTTTATCAGGTACAAGAAAAATTTGTAAGCCTTATCGACATTTTCTTGCAATGCGGTTTATATTGTTTATGTGCCTCTCATTCATCAAGAACTGCCACTAATGAGCTAATGAGTGGGGTGATCTTTGTGATAGGAGAACATGTCAAGCCATGAAATAGAAGTGGCTATTCATACTGATTCAAGACACGCGGATAAGCTTCGATCAGTGTACTCGAGTAAGGAAACAGCGGAGCGTGGATATGCGATGTTCAAACGAACAGAATTTTTGGGGAGTCGTATAAGTTTTGAAATGTTGAAGCGCGTGAGTGGAGACAACAACTCCAATGTGTATGAGTTATTACTTAGGGCGTAAGGTACATTAGAAGTCAGAAGTTGAGTGTTTAGCATCTGTATTTTACCAGAATTGTATCTGTAACATTAATGGTGGAATGTCACATGAATAGAGTGCCCAAAATGGGAACTGTGAATACAAGTATGGGAGATTGGTGAAATAGGAAAAGCAGTAACTTAGACCCTAAGTTTTAAAAAAAGTTATCTATAAAAAGATGGATACTTGAAGATCAGCTACTCACCCAAGTCTTAAAAGAGGGTTTTATGCTAAATTTACAGAAGATTTGCTAGAAACTAGTTCGAGTTGTAAATCACGTTTTCTTTACGAGGTGTTGTAAACCACTTGAACTATTTATTTTTCATTATTACAATTTTCATACTTTTCGAAACATATGTCAATCTTTATTTAGAGAAATCTTATTGGTTACAAATGATTTTTTACAAGAAAGATAAACATAGAATACTTGACCAATGAAGTTTTTACCATATATAAGAGAGTGAGTGGTTATTATTTTTAAGGCATTGCTCATTGCTTCTCATGTCTTACTCATACATTTTGACGACATTCCAAAACTATTCTCAAAATATGGACTTCAATACATACAAATAATGTCTGAAAAAAGACAAATAAATGTAAGAAAGAATTTGAATTTTGAAATCCGGACTCACCCTATACACCGCCTGAAACATTCGAACCAAAGGAGAACAAAGTTAAAAAAAATAATTTAAAAATCTGAATTTTTCTTTTGGAGATTTAAATCCGAACGCGTTCATTTAAGAATTCACACCATGTCTCTTCCTTCCCTTTCATCTCAAAAAAATTAACAAATAAAAAAAGAACTTGTGAGCCTACTCTTAATCCAACATTTTTCAATCTTTCTTACAATTTTTACTCCAGTACATTTATGCATAACACATTTGTCAAGTTCTAAACATCTACATTCAAGTCAAGATCATTCATCTCTCATATTTAGTAAGTTTTTTATTTATTTTATTTTTTAACCTTTTTTTATTTATTTCACAAATAGGTTATATATATGTACATTAAGTTACATGCAATAGAGATGTTGCATTTGTTTTGTCTCGCATATATTTGGTTTGAAATTTTGATCTTTTAAACTTAGGGTTTGTAATGCATGCTTTATTTTCTAGTTTTGTGCAATTTGGATTTTGAAATCCGGACTCATAGTTCGGATAACAAAATTTAGATTTTTCTATTTTTTATTATATTTTGAAATTTGGTCTGTTAATACATTGTTTCCGCTTCTTTGATTATGATATGCATTTTCTTGTTTGATTATAGGAAAACTAACTAACAACCAACATACATTGAGACATGGTAGAGTAACCTAACATGTCTTAGTGTGTTGGGAGAAAGCCATACCATCGTGACCCGTGGTCAAAGAATGTTTGTTTGCTGCTGAGGGATCATCTTCTCGGGCTCATGTATCTCTAACTCATTATGAATCCCCCGACGCTCTAGTACATATTGTTGTACCTAATGCTAAATATGATGTTGTAGCAACTTGATGAATCATGGTTTCAAGATGTTTTGCATCTATTTGGGCCGAAGGATTTCTGCAAGAACGAATATGGTTATATTAACCATGGTTTATTATATGTGTATGTTGAGACATGACACACATAGATGTCATTGTCATACCCTAATTTTTGACCCTAAGATACCCACATCATTTGCATCTCATACATACACTTTTATACATCACTAAACCATTTTAGGAATTCAAGATTGTTGTTTGCTTCATTATGATCACCAATTAGGGTTTTTTAAGTCCTACAGAGGATTCAGTCAAATGATCAATCAAGAATTGACATGATCTTCAACTCATCAAGTTCCTCGATCATCCATGGAGATAAATAGATCCCATTCAATAAGAATCAAGGACAAGATTACATCATTTCAAATTGGTCAAGCCTCAAGATCATCTGTGTCACCAAATCAGGGTTTTGACCTAATCCAATCCTAGGGATGACTTATGGAACAAGGCATGATCCAAGACCTCAAGATATGTTTCAAGGACCTCAAATACATAATATTAGTCCATTCACATGATTGTATTGATCCAAAGAACTTGATTCATAAACAATGCAAGAATTCAAATCCATCTGAGTCACAAACTAGGGTTTTGATGAAAAAGTCAACCATATCTTTGACTTTTGGCCAAGACACAATCTCCAACATTGGATTATGATTCAAGACACTCAAATATACTCTTGAAGTCCATTCATACGTTTAAAATCACCTTGGGGTACTCATTCATCAAAAATCAGGAATTAGGATTTCCCTGCACAAAATTCATCTGATACACAAAGTCAAAGTTTGACTTTTTGAGCAAAATTATTCATCATAAGCCATTATACAAGAAAAAATGATCCATTATTTCACTTGAACAAGGATTGATCAAGAAATCAAGGTTACTTGCAAAAGAAGCAAAATTGGAAGAATTGAAAATTTCACTAAGTTATGAAAAAAACATGAATTTTACCCAATTTCCAAAGGCCATAACTTGTGATCAAAGCAACCAAATTTTCTATTCCAAAGCTTAAATGATAGATCTCATCACATAATACAAAGTTGCTAATATGAACCATTCAAAAACTTCATGGATTTTAAGTTATGAAGTGATCAAAATAAATAAAAATAAGAAAATGAATTTCAACACTTAGTGAAAATTCTGCCATGTTTTTCAGCATGAAACATCAATTTTCAAGAGCACTTCTCATTATGATCCAAGTAGAATCAATACAAGTTGTGAACATTAATGTTGAAGGAAATCATCTAAGCTTTCTAAGAAGTACAAGAATATCTATTGATTCAACTTGAGCAAGAAGTTATGAACCTCACAACTCACCTTACTACAACTGTTTTTCAAAGACAGATTTTGGGACTTTCTTGCACCGCATGATTTTTCACAAAAATTTGTCATCTTTCAAGCTTTATCATCATCCAAGATCAGAAGAAATCTTGATGAATCACTTGATATCTTCAACTTTGGACCAAGGAGTCAAGAATCTAGCTTAACATGTGCAAATTCATCATTACAAAAGCCTTGAAATTCAATTTTGTTAAGTTACATTAATGTGGCACATAGAGGTGGCATGAATTGTGCACAAACCAGTCAAGATATATCCAAGAGCAAGAAGACTTCAAACCTGCAAAATTGATGAGAATCAATGCATAACTATGCTAGGAGGAGACTTTGACTACATGGTAAAATACATTAGACAATAGAGTGATCCCTCATCCAACACTATTTCTAAAAAAAAATTGTTCTCCTATAAATAGAAAGCATTTATGATCATTCTAAACACACTAAAACAACACTAAGCCTTATTTTCTCACTTTCCCTTTTTTGTTCAAAGTTCCAAAATTCCAAAGTCAGAAATCAAATTTCTCATTCCAAAGCATTTTTGTCCAAACCGATGATCCAAACACCTCTCATACATCATATGTAAGTGATCCAAACACTTAAACATCATCTGTAACATCAAATTCATCAAGATCATAGTTCATCCCAAGCAAGCTACAGTTGGATTCGAGTTCATCAACCTAGAAAGTTTCAATCCATTCCAAGCATATCAACACACTCTTTGAGGTCTAGGGAAGGTGTCCAAATCATCAAAGCACTTCTATAACTCCTACAACTGAGGATTCAAATTCCTCTTGCAAGGTAAGCCTAAACTTTTCAAATTCCATGAATCATGCATTATAAATGTTATTTCAAGTTACTAACATATTTTTGGATGCTCATAGATCATTAATCCTCAATCAATTGCTACTTATAACTCGTGTATGGGATTTCACATTAGTTTTTGCAAAGTTAGGGTTCATCTGTTCATCACATGATATCTTACACTACACTTAAAATAAATGAAATTAAACACCACCATCGTGTTCCTTGTTCAAAAGCGAGCAATTTTCATGTTTACATCTTTTAAAATCATTACGTATTGAGGGAGATAAGAGAGGTTTTGCAAATATGATAATGGTGGTGGTGCGCGAGGAAGAAGATGGCCCTGGTGCCATTTTTCAAAATTTTGAATTTTGAATTATTTTTCTTATTTTTCATAATTATTTTCAAAAATTAATTTCTATATTCAATTTTAATTAATTTCAAATGATTTTTTGAAAAAATATCATTCACATGTTTAAATATTTTATTCACCATAAAAATAAAAATAAATATTTTTTATTTGATATATTTTTAATATATTTAAAAATATTATTTTAAATTGTTTAAAATAATTTCTTTTCTTGATTTTTCTTAAACCAATTTTATTTCAAATATTCATGTGAATAAAAAACTTTTTTATAAATCTTATCATTGCTTATGACATGGTTAATGGATTCATTTTGATAATTATACCATTTTTTATTGATTTTTCTTTGAAAAAATATCTTAAAAAATGAAACTAGGGTTTTTACTTTGATTCAAGCTTTCAAACTCCATAGCAATTATTTAGGTCTTTATTAGAGTGTAAGACCCAACCTACTCTGTAAATAAACAAATCTCTGGGTCATTGCTATAGTATAAGTTCCATTGCGCTTTTCAAAATCACGGTGCGATCACCGTGTTCATAACAAATTTTGGGCCTCTAATAAAGTGTAAGTCCCACCCCATTTGTACTAAGTAAACATTTTTAGAGCCTCTACTATATTATAAGTCCCTCCTCTCAGTGTTCAAAATTATTGTGTTTTTTAAAATAATTTGGGCCTCTCCCTGAGTATAAGCCCCAACATTCTTTTTTCAAAACTTAATAAGTCAGGGTCTCTACTATAGTATAAGTCACTCTTATCTTTTTCAATCAACTACCATTATCTGGGCCTCTGCTAGGAGTGTAAGTCCCATCCCTCTTTCTATTTTCAATTTTTTTCTTCATATTTTCAAAACTTCAATCTTTCAATCTTCCAAATTCAATCTAAACCTAACATCAATTTTCTTAATCAAAATTTGGGCCTCTCACTGAGTATAAGACCCAACACCTTTTGTAAATATAAAA